CCCAGACAGAGGACGTGGATACTAGTTCCAGGGCGGAAGATACCCAAGATGTTCCTCTATAAGCAGGAGCTGGCGCTCGCCCATCACCTTCATGTACACCAAAATATGAAGTCATCTCCAGTCGCAGCCTGACTGGAGAAGACCTTTGGAATTCATGTCACCTCCAAACAGCTGCGAAACTTCTAGTTAGTGGCAGACACATTGTCTGCCATCGTCCCACGAGACAGACTGGCTGTCAGCCACCATTGTCTGCCATCGTGGTCAACGTGTAAATTCTTCACAATTCCTACTGCTACCACTAATTCACTTTCAAGGGCCCAAATTATCAAAGAGCAGAGACTCAGTAACTGAAGACGTTTCATTCATTTCGGCACTATTAAACTATTCCTACCCCAAAAAACAAAAAAAATTTTGCTGAAACGTTGCCTATAGATGTAATTCGATGCGCTGATCACGAATATCACATCCGTTTCGAGCGCTGGCGTCATTTGGCGCCATTATGCGCCAATTTGGCTCCCACCACTTTTTTGTGCGATAGTCATGATCAGGATGTCGGTTAACCCCATATGCAAGTTTTCATCGACTTTGGTGAAAAAAGTGGTGGGCGCCAAATTGGCGCATAATGGCGCCAAATGACGCGATGAAACGGATGTGATATTCGTGATCAGCGCATCGAATTCACATCTATAGGCAACGTTTCAGCGAAAAAATTTTTTGAGTTTTTTGGGGTAGGAATAGTTCAATAATGCCCAATATTTACTAACATGACCGATAAGGGACACTGTCAGATGGGATGGGAAACTGTTCTAGCATGGCTAAGAAAATATAGCTTTTAGTGATGCACTTGATTCCACCGTTAGTGGTGTGCTTTTTTAGAGAGCATTACATACATACATCCTATATATAATCCGCTATATGTCTGTCTGTCTGTCTGTAACGAATCATAGCGCCCGACCCAAAGGCAGTGAGACTTCGGTTCCCAATATGTTATTGGGTATGGGACAGCTACATTATTGATGGATAGCAGGGAGTTATATCAGCAGATAAGATCTGATAAGAGGCGTCAGAAGAGGAGGGTCACCAAGTAACCTCATAGCGACAGTGTGACCTTGATTCCAAGGAGTTATGTAGAGGGTGGGAGAGAAACATTATTGGCGGATGATCGAAAGTGATAACAGCTGATGAGATAAGATAAGGGGCTTCAAAATGGTAGGATCACCAATTTCATAACGCAGGTCACTGCAACATTGGGACCTTGGTTTCGAGAAGTGATATGGGGTGTGAAACGGGAACATTACTGGCGGGTGACAGAAAGTGATAACAGCTGATAAGATTCGATATGGGGCTTCAGAAGGTGAGGGGCAACACATCCGTAAGCAGGCTACAGCAGCAGTACCTTAGGTTTCGAGAAGTGATATAGGGTGTGGGACGGGAACATTATTGGCGGGTGACAGGAGGTGATAGCAAGTGATAGGAGCTGAAAGTGACAAGTTAACATGGGAAAATTCGCTACACCACTCACAACGACAATGCGATTGATATGACCCATGTATCACGATCTCAACGGTTTCCAACACAACTCATTCCCAAGCTTATCAGTAACGACATTATGTACGACCGCTAAGCTAGCTCTATTCCAAATGCATGGGGTTTGTTTACAGAGATGTTATGAGTAGCAACAATTCAACTTAATCACTCTTACCACAATTATCTTCCACCAACAACCTCAGTAAAGGCTATTCGAAGCGCTCTCTTGAATGCGGGAGTGCATTTCAGA